TCTCTCTCTCTCTCTCTCTCTCTCTCTCTCTCTCTCTCTCTCTCTCTTTTAAGTAAAATAACGGATTTGTTCATACACGACTGGCACTTAAATTCTGTTTCATGTATTCTGCAGGTGATGCATAGCGACAAAAAATACTTAATGATGACAGGAGCCGATAATGAGTTTGAGATAGTTACATCTCAAACTTATACAACCGCAATGATTCCAAGTGAGACAATTGGTTCGTTAGCCGCCACATTGGCTCCTATGCCGAACGACTTCTCAAAATCGTCCAGCAATGTGTGGATGAATACTATGCCTATGTCGACCAGCACCAATACGTTGAGCAAACGCAGCAATCGCAGCAAACGAATTGTAAACGCCAATGTCCTTGTGAAAGATTACATCAAGAAGAGAAATTTGATTCTCGAGTTGTTAGCGGTTGAAATTGAAATGTTACTGGTGAGTTCTCAATGAGAGAATCACAAATGTTCGGAAAATTATAATTTATCGCGTTTGAATGAAAATCTCAGCTTCTAAATCAAAGTCTCGTTTCTCATCAAGGTCTGGCGTAATCCCAGCGGAAGAGCGGAACTCGCGTTGCAAGGCGAAATAAGTATCGCGGATTGGCGTGCCAAGGGGATGAACGATCGCTGGCGAGAATATACGCGACTTGCATGGGAGATCAGTCCCATTTTAGCCATATTTTTACCAGTTCGATTAAAAAATCATGAAGTCATCATTAAAGAGATTTGCGGCTTAGTGCGCCTTAAACCCGTGCCAGTCATGCATTTGTCGGAAGCATTGCAATATCTCATTACGACGGACACGCTTCTCAACGATGTACCTGAAGTGAGATTTACCAATTATTCAATCTAGTCTACTTATAATCTGTACCTATACATTAATACGTGATTAATAAGTAGATATTAGAATCTCATTTATAAAATTTGATTCTGTTTTAGTTAGTTTATATGTTAACATGGGAACGAGTGTCTCCAATTCAAGCGCTGGCGTTCTTCTCGCGACAATTCCCGCATCATCCCATTTCGGCGCAATACGCGGTGCAAGTATTGGACAGCTATCCCGCCGACGCCGTGCTTTTCTATATACCTCAACTAGTGCAAGCCGTCCGTCACGATTCAATGGGCTATGTAATCGAATTTATTAAGAAGATTGCTAAACGATCACAGGTACTACAAGTATTGCAAAATTTAAATTGAGTGAATATTATTAAATCGAATTACATGTAGTAACTGTGCTTTGGCTGAACACATGTTTCAGGTAGTAGCGCATCAGTTGATATGGAATATGCACACTAATGTATATATGGACGAGGATAAGCAGATCAGAGATCCGGTACTGTACGATGTATTAGATTCATTGACGAAGAATATTCTGAACGCCCTGTCTGGCCCGGCAAAACAATTCTACGAGAGGGAGTTTGACTTTTTCGAGAAGATTACTAACATCTCAGGAGAAATCCGGCCGTATCCCAAAGGGCCGGAACGCAAGGCCGCTTGCTTAGATGCTTTAGCAAAAGTCCAAGTGCAACCTGGATGCTACCTACCATCGAATCCCGAAGCGATGGTCATCGATATAGATTATCAAAGCGGTACTCCTATGCAAAGGTATATAAGATAGTTACAACGATATGTATGATACGATTAATTCTGTTATAAAGTATACTATGCGCAATCATCTTATAATTATAGTGCTGCTAAGGCGCCATTCTTAGCGCGCTTCAAAGTACAGAGATATGGTATCAATGAGCTCGAGAATATTGCGCTAGCAGTGTCGACCAACGGGAAAGTTGACAGCAAGAGAGAAACGGAAGAGCAGACGTGGCAGGCTGCTATTTTCAAGGTCGGAGATGACGTCAGGCAAGACATGCTCGCCCTGCAAGTGATCAGCATCTTTAAGAATGTATTCCAGAAAGTCGGGCTGAATCTCTTTCTGTTTCCCTACAGAGTGGTGGCCACAGCTCCCGGGGTAATACACTACGGCCTCTTGTAATGAATACACTTTTGATATACACTCTATCTCATTTATAATTATATTATTAAAAATACATAATAATTATTAGTGCGGCGTGATAGAATGTGTACCGCACGCAACGTCGAGAGATCAACTCGGCCGTACAACGGATAGCGACATGTATCAATACTTCATCACGCAGCATGGCGACGAGACGACCAAGGAGTTCCAAAATGTTCGTCGCAACTTCGTCAAGTCAATGGCGGCGTACAGCGTGATTACCTATCTCCTACAAATAAAGGACCGTCACAACGGCAATATCATGATAGATACCCAAGGCCATATCATACACATTGATTTCGGTTTTATGTTCGAGAGTTCGCCTGGTGGTAATCTGGGCTTCGAGCCCGATATCAAGCTGACTGACGAGATGGTCCTCGTGATGGGTGGCAAAATGGAAGCTGCGCCGTTCCGTTGGTTTATGGAACTGTGCGTCCAGGCTTTCCTCGCAGTTAGGTGAGTAACGTATTATTTCATCAACATCATTTTAAAAAAATCTTTATTTACACTACATTCTATATATCGCAATAAAAAAATAAGATTATATTTCGATACTATACATATAAAGCTATCTCTCGAACTTACCGCTAATTTAATTAAGTGTACGCATCTACTTGAATATTGTTTATTTTATAGGCCCTACCAGGAGGCTATCATCTCTCTCGTCTCTCTCATGCTTGACACGGGACTACCGTGTTTCCGCGGGCAGACTATCAAACTTCTACGCAGCCGGTTTGTGCCGACTGCCACTGATCGCGACGCGGCGATATTCATGATCAATGTAATACGTAATAGCTACCTCAACTTCCGTACGAAAACTTACGATATGATACAGTATTATCAGAATCAAATCCCATACTGAACTATTGTCGAGAAACTTATTTCCGTCTCCTTTCTCTCTTTCTTCCCCGTCCGCGTTGATCGTTAATAGGCGACGCTTTATGCTCGCTATGACTGTTGTTATCGTCTTAGAATGAGATACTTGATGTACTGCAGTTAGATGTATATCGCGGCATAACCACTGACTGTGAGAACTGTACAAATGCATTGGTGTCAATATTATTTTAATCCCACGTGTATTTTACGAAAGCGTTTAATTTTGTATGTAATAATGTATCATATATATATATATATTTATCTAAGTCGCTTGTACTTATATGTAAGTATAGGTATATCTGTCATATACAGCGCATCTGTATACGACTACATTCCTGTTTGTTATTAATTTATGCGCTGTTAATGGATAAAAAGTTAAATTACTATAATCTCGTGACGACATATTTAGAAAGCCTTCATCTCGCGCGGTGAATTTTAATTCTCAATTACAACAGTATTTAAGTAAATTTTAACAGATATTTTGTAAAATATCAAAAAGATGTATACACATTTTTTATTTCGTCTCTGCTTAGTGTTTTCTCATGTTTTTCTAATTTTAAGGCATGATTATTTTTAAAGGATGTAATGAATAAATTAGACAAATAATAAACGAAAGCAAATTAATTTATTTTCTATATACAAGCAAACTCATTACACAATGTTATATATATATATACATATCAGTATGTTTGTAACACTAATAGTTAGCTTGATTCAGAGAGAACTTCAATTATGGATTTTCCCCGGAGTAATAAATTTTTTTTCAGCGACAGATTTCTTCCTAAAAGTTTTCAAGAAAATATCTTTAACATCAATAGTTTAATAGATACATTTAAGAATAAATTTCTTTTTGAATTTCTAAATTTATTTCAATTTTCTAAATTATTTTGATAAATGTGTGTGTGTGTGTGTGTGTGTTGCTGCAATGAAAAAATTTTATATACATGTTGATTTATTTTAATCTTTCTAAAATGCTTATTCTGTAACTCTTAACAACTGCAATATAACAGTCACTAAAAGTTATTATAAGACAAGTTATTATAAGGTAATTATAGAATAAGCCTCTTAGTGTAAATTTGAAGTATAAATTTGTTGATACATTATATTATTGTATATTACAATTAACTGTATATAATATATTAAAGTTGACATAACTATTGTCTATATGTTTATACCTACTCTATATCAATTTGTTTTGTTGCAGCAATTAACATTGGTTGTTTAATTTCTCGTCTCGCATCTCGAGTGTAATAGTAAATTTGCGAAGTTTTGTGATACGGACCGTCTGGTATATTCGGTGGAGATTGGGTGCGCTTGGATTGTTCATCAGCGTACCTGTTGTGCAGTATAATTTTTCTCTGCAGAAAATAAAATTTTAAACATGTATCATCAAACTGTTGTATAATAGCAACTAAAGGAACTTGGAAAATTTTTTATCATCGAGCTTTTTCAAAAGAGAATCTCTTGCCGAAAAAATATGTTACTCTATGGAATTAAACGTACATCTAATTGAGGTTCTTAACTTTTCAGAGTAAAAGACACTTGATCTACAAATTTTCTTAAACTCCAAAATTTCTATTATATTTTTACATTACAAGGAATCGTGTGAGCATGTCGCAAATAAGAAGAGAAGAATAATTTGCTGGGAAAATACAAACTTTCTATAAAGCATCAGTCAAATTAAACTCACAAAGCACATCTGCGAATATAACCTATCAATAAACGTTACAATTAATGACTCGTTTTCCAAACAGTTAGCTCGATTTTTTTTTTCAGGAAATATTCGAGTACTTGAATTAATAAATTCAATATATTGAAGACTAATGCAAAAAAAGATAGATAAAAATTCTAAAAGGCGTAGAGAAGATTACATAATTAAAGCAAATGTCATCACTTACACCTCGCAAAACTTCTCGAATCAACTGTATTAGTGGCGTAACATTCCGGTGTTCGACTGGGCCCGGCATTCTTCTTCCGTAAATTGACTGATTTCTTAAAAAATAATTAATTTTGACAGTAGGGGTTTTCTCAACAAGTAAATATTGACCATAGAGATAGTAGTACTACTATCTCTATAAACATTCGCATAGTATCGATCATGATATCGTATCGATACAAACTGATATAATGAATCGACTCGATTCTTCGTGACGTTTTTACAATCGATACGTATTTTTTCATCAAAAATGGCATCAATTATGGCAAACGTATAATTTTTTACTTAAATTATAAGATAGAAAAACTCACTCTATTTTTTTATATGCGACTTTCGTACAAATCAGCTAAAATACTCTTTACACAACGAATATATCTAAGAATTTGAAAACTTTTGTTGTTTTTAATTCGTTAGTTGTTTCTAATCTTTTCTTTATTGCTCAGTTCAAATAAATAAGTTCTGAATAAAAGATGTAATTTTTCAGTGCAAATGAATCTAATTGAATGAGAAAAAAGTTCTTTTTTATTCTCTTGGATTATTATCTTGGAATGAGAATTTTAAAATAATAGATAAGACTAAAAAAAAAAGAGAACCATAGAATAAGATTAAAAAAAAAGACCTTTTTTTGAATCCCAATTGAATTCAATACGCATAAAAATGTTAATCCATTTTAATCCGCATTTTTATAATCACTGCCCGAACTACGCATTGTAAATGTAAATAAAGTGTAAACACAAAGGCATGGCAAAGTCAATGGCAAATCACGTCGAGTCGTTAATTAGTTCGTGCTGATACGTTGACAGGAGTTGATAGGCTGACAGAAAAGGTTAAAGGAGAAAGGAATTAGTGCAATTTATATATTGTGATGTCGGATGCGCGAGCAGTGAACCGGTAATCGCCTTAATTGGTACAATGCGCATGACGCAATAGACCTGTTCTTTTTCTCTGCACTGTCTGAACTGGTGCAATAAGTTGATGAAGTGCAGGCAAAAAGAACAAGCCTTTATATCACATGCTGATCTGCACTCTCGAGAACGAGGGTGACCAAATGAGAGGCATTGAGAGGAAGAGAGAGGTCGGAAAACAACATATGGACGCACTTGTGAGAGGTGGACAGAGGTTCCAGAGCCAAATATTCACGAGAATTACGAGAGACAACGTAAGGCGAAGAACCTTGATCGGAGCACCTCGTCGCGTTAAACCAGATACACTTGTCCTATATGCGATTCATATTTAACATTATAAGAAATGACGCATTCTGAAATGTAGGTTAGAGTTGCACAGAGATTAAAGTTTATTAAGGTTTCTATAATCTTTCATGCGTTTTTTAAATAATCATTTAATAATGCAATGAGTTAATTGAACGTTCGAGACAGAATATTATGAGACAGAGTTGTAGTCTAAAACTGTGATCAAACATTTAAACTTAACGTAATTAGGTTAAAATTTCATTATCATTCTAGTCATTAGTTATGTGACAGTATAAGAACTGCAATCTATCATAAAACTGTAGTTAAATATTTGGATTGCTGCCAGATAATAAGTTTGTTTTCTCTATGTATAACTGAGTAACATACTTTTTTGGAACTTAAAATACCTGTTATTTGATTAAAACAAGAAAGAAAGTGTAGTGCAGAAATAAAGAAGCAATGTCATGTAATTATTGTTATAATTATTGATACATTAATACTCCAATCGTATTGCAGTAAAAACTGTAGCTTCTGAACACATTTGAAACCTGCAGTTGGATCTATGTCATTAAGCCAGCGTGAATTTGCGAGAACCATATTGTTTATTATCCAACGCTGCTACTGGACGCATTAAACACATGCCAACATGTTGACAGAACAAAATGTGATCATGGAGCTTACTGGCTCTAGTGATACAGTGGTTGGTTTCATCACTACCGATGATAGTCATGCGCTACTGGCAGTAGATGGTAAGACGATATAGACTTGTAATAATACAATATATATATATATATATATGTATGTATATTACAGATTAAAACAATAGATATAATAATTGATACAAGTATGATCATTAGAAAGTATCCAATATCTTGATACAGTAACTAGTATTAGCAATAATTTGATATTGTTTTACAACTTTTTTCACCAAGTATAATGCCTCTGTAACAACAGTATGGCGATATATACCTGTCATCAAGAATTACAGAATCAGGATACAAAGTTGTGTATATATATATATACATATATAACTTACAATGTATACATTATATAGCTTTCTGTGAGAATTTCATATTTAGCTCATTAAACTTAGCAGAATAATAATTTAAATAATTAAATAGAAAGTACATGCTTTTAATTAATGTAAAATCACATAAAGATTTCTTTTCAGAACGTGAGGACGGTACACTGGAATTTATGACAACACCAATCACATTAATGCCACAGAATAATATGCTATCTCCAACATTGATAAAGACTATGGACGGAAATTTTATTTTACATTCAGTATGTGCAACTAATAGTAAATCTATCTTTTTTACTTCAACATTTTGCTCAGAAGCGTTACAAGCAATAATAAGGTGTTCTATCTGTGGATATGACATGTTTTTTCTGTTTCAGCCTATTTTCCAAATGAATGTAGAGGATTTGTCAGGAACTGCGATACAACAAACAAGTCTACTGCCACTGATGCAACATTTAGAAAATAGATCTGAAATCACGGAACAATTAAAAATACAAGATACGAATAAATGTGCAATTACGGATCCTCTATTACCTAAAGATAATAGCAGTATGTTATCAGACAAAAGACAGTTAACAGTTGACAATGATGCTAAAAGTAGATCTACACCTGTATATAATACCATACAAAATGTCTATAAGAGATCTCCAGGGAGACCAAAGAAGAAAGAAGTAAATTTGCAAGTATGTTGATATCATTGACTGATGTCTATAACTTTAGTATCTTTAATCGTCTAAAATGGATTTACTGTTTACATTTTATATGTATAAAAATGTAATTTTATTTTATATCATATAAATATAAATTCTAAGTATAATATATATAAATTCTAAATAAAAATAAATTATTCTCATCATACGAAAAAAATTATATGTTAAAAATGAGATAAGGCTCAATATGTTTTTAAAACAAATAATATAGAGAAAGAGGGCAATAATATCGTTAAAATCTTTTTAAATTATAATCTAATATATTGCGAAGAATATCACGTAATTATGGCGTTTCGTCCCAGCTTCCACTACTGGACTCATCAGTAAGGTATTGTAGTGGAAGCCTACCTTAGACGCCTGTTTAAGTTATTAGATCGAGAATCTATATATACAGATATACGCGTATCCAAGCACTTGCGAGAATTTTTGCGAATATCTATAGACCTCTGATGGCGAGTCGACGTAGTAATATTCTTCGCAATATATTTATTCAAAGTAATATATGTATTACCCTCCCACCCCCTCCAACGACGAAACGCCATAATTACGTGATATTCTTCGCAATATATTAGATAATAATTTAAAAAGATTTTAACGATATTATTGGCTGATTGTCCCTCTTTCTCTATATTAATTATATGTTAATTATTTTAACGTAACAGAATACGCAGTCTCTGCAATGTGATATATGCAGTCAAGAATTTACTAAACAAACATTATACCGTAAACATATGGAAAATCATGCCGAAGAAAAACCGCATAGATGTCCCAAATGTCCAGCATCGTTTAATATTCCAGTAAGTCTTTTGATATCTTTTCTATAAATAGTATGTTAAGAGAAAAGAATCTTGTGATATATCTCTGTCTTAAAAGGAAACTCTGACACATTAATCAAGTATTCATCGTACGCATTATACAATATATGTCACTACTGGCACTGTATCGTGTATATAACTTTAATTAATTATATACGACATTGATAAGAAACTACATATATGATAAAGAATCTAAAAAAACAACTACATGATGACTAAAATGTATATCTACTTTTGTCGAATAAACCTGTTCGATCATCCGGCTAATTTCTTGTCGAATTAATACGTAGTAGTAAGAGAAAGTTGCTTCTTCATCTTGGATGCAATAATTGGATTCAGTTGAGTAACTTCATACAATGGTATCATTACAGACAAATTTTACGCTTCATATGGCAACGCATAATACTGGCGACCCAAAGTGCCCCGAATGCGGTAGGAAATATGCCAGAATGGCGAGTCTCAAGTCTCACATGTTGCTGCATGAAAAGGAGGAGAATCTCTTTTGCACAGAGTGTGAGGACGCCTTTTCGACGAAGGTAAGTTCGAGATTATTCACATGTTATGTGTATAAAGTAAATTTTTTTTCTATATGTAAAATAACAGAGCAGTCCAAGATTCAACATTTTTGTGTATAATTTTAATAATTAAAACCTTTAACCACCGAAAGGTAGATTTTGAAACTCTGTATAATGCTGTATCGCGCTACGTAAGATGCCTTATCGATGCTCGGTCCTGCTAGTATATTTCTGCTGATCGCGCAGCAATTACATCCCACCGGATAGCAGTCATCATTGCGAATACGATATACATAATTATTACGGATAAGGTCTAAAACGTTGGCTACTTTGCCTCGTATTCGCTTATTCGCTCCTCAATTGATTTACGTGCTCTAGTCGACGCGGTTATAAATCTCGATTGACAATATCTAAATTCTAATTACCTATATATTTACCTAACACTCGCGCATCCACGAATTGTATTTGACATTGTTTTATAGCATTTTCAACGATATAAATAAAAATTATTTATTATTATTAACGAATAAAATTTAACGTGAATTTTGGTTCTATTAATAAAATAAATAAAATAGATCTTGATGTTACGCGACGTCTCAATCAAGGATCGATCTCGGTGAATCGTGATTTATTTATTCGCTACCAATCATCCAGCCAAGATTAAACAATCATAGAAAAGGAGAATTCTTGCCATGTTCTCCAGTTGACTACAGCAAGATAAATAGAGAAGATAATTTAATAATTCCCTTCAATGCTCTTGAAGATTAAGAGGATATTATCTCATAGCGTCGTCAAAGTATGCCAGCAATGATCGGTCTCGCACACTTCATAGCCATGAATGGTATTTAACTGCTTCTTTGCTACATATTCATAGGAGTGTCTGTATAATTGTATAGCAATAATTTGCAGGGAAAGGAATTAATGAATCACGCATTCGAGATAACGCGCGTTATGAACGCACTTTCTTCTGCTACTGATCATTTAAAGCCCTTGATTAAGCATGCTTTAATTGATTAGTAGTATAGAAGACTTTTGTCAGGAGATGTTTTTTTCATTGTTAGTTTGATGCGATCCCACGTAGCCGAGACAATCTTCTAGGTTTACGAAAACAATGAGAATTGATCGGGATTATCTCCGATTATCGTAGCGGTCGTGCGTGATCCTGGTAGCAACGTGGGCCGTAAAACGTGAGTAAGTGGGCGGCGACGGCGATTGTATTAATGGGGCTCTCACACGAATTACGCAACCGAATCGCATGATCTCACACAGATCTCTCGCCGATTGCCCTTGTGTTTGGCCGCCGACACGCGCTAAGCGGTCTATACGCGCGCGCGCGCGCGCGCACGCACACGCGTATACACGAATGTGAAGTCAAATTGTGGAGACTCTAGGAAGTGTTGCATCGCTGTTATTATCCATCTCGGCCAGTATGTTTGGGCGTATACAAATATTCAATTTAGGTACAAGAAAGGAGAATCAAAAATAGAGAAAGTCATAGATATATTCAGAAAGGATTATATCAGCTTAAGAATTCAATTTAAGTAAAGGAAGAGTCAAGGAAAGAAAGCGATGTAAGCATTTCAATTTTAATCATAAAAGTAGTAATTGTAAATATTGAGAGATGAAGATGAAAAAGGCTACGAAAATAAAAATTACTAGATGATTATATCGAAGAGAGATAATAAATGACGTTATAAGAAAAAAGAAAGAGAGAAAAGTTAAAGAAGAACTGACCGTTTGTATAAAGATAATACTACGAATTTGAATTTTTCGAGTTGTTAGATTTGATACATAATTCGTCTACTCTGTGACATTTCTCGGATAAATTGGAAAATAATTTGTAGAGAGAAAGGAGAACCGATAACGGCGATGAATATGATGATTTCGACGTCGACGACGTAAGCGACATTTACAGACGCTTCGTCAGTGAGCAACGAATACTCGCGAAGTGTGCACGTGCATCTACAAATGCATATCCCTTCTACGAAATGTGCGTGGTTCTGTTAAAATCGAAAGACATATGTCACTGGAATGCGTCGCAAGACTTAACATTTGTTTATTTGCAAGTGGCAGCTATTATACTAGATAAGAGATTGGTGATGCATTGATTAAATCGTGATCACATATTCTGAAGCACATATCCTTGGAATTTACCGTTGAAGAAATAGTAAATTCAAAAAATAATAATGATAGGAATTTACAATGAACTGTTTCTTTGTAATATCAATTGGACACTCAATTTTTTCTAAATTATATCTCACTAATCTTTGCCTTCTGCCAAACATTGACGGAGAAGAATATTCTCTTGGAACGTATTTTACGATCGTTCTAGCAGTTTTTGCACGTCTCATCCACGGATCCGTATATTTTTTCTGGCGCCAGAAACTTGAAAGATCTTTGAGGAGGTCTCTCTCGTCTTTCTCCGAAACTGAAGTTTGTGATAGAAATGCAGATAGTGTTTCCTCTTAGTAGGATCGTGCACGCGCGCACGCAATATGTGAAACCAATTTTAAAGGAGAAAAAGAATTGCGCGGACATAAATAGTGTGCGTTTTTGTTGCTTAGGTGGAATCTGCAGTACTCTCAATGCGTCTCGGATTGATAATCTACTGCGCGGTGACCGTGCATCAGGCAGTGAGGAATAACAAATAGAAAACGAATTCGCGAGAGAAGTCAAAATAGACAGCGGAAAGGAAGAATCGAGCGAAATAAAAGTTCCGATAATGCGACCGCCGTTACGTCGTGTTGATAAGAAACGAACCGTTGAACTTTACCGGGAAGAGTATGAGGATATATCTATGTATAACCGCCGTTCCGATATATATGATAATTCACTATTATTAATAGCATTAACCCTGAAAATCATTCGATTTTCCATCGAGATCGCTATAAGTAACTAATTCCCGTTCTAACAAAGTGACATTTAAACTGCAATCGAATTAAATGTAAAAACGGCACGGTGCCACTTCAAGGCATACGGAAGATGAATTCGCGGAAGAAACCTAATTCTGAGAGACAGTGTAATCTTTCGCAAAGGCGCGCTTCACGCTTATGTTTACGCGCAAAGAAATAATAATCTAACCGTAACGTAACGCGTTGAAGAAAATGAAGACCAGAGGGAGGTTATCAGCGAAATCTGCGATGACGTCGTTAGACGAAACAGCAGCGAAAAAGAGAGCGATTTAATACGAAGAAACGGATGACGTAACCTTTCCCGAGACCGTAATTTTAGGAACTCCGTCCCTTAAGAATATGTCGTCCATCTTCTTATACTTCCGTCTCGACTCGTTCGCATCGCCCGCGTCCGCATGACACTTGACACGTCAATTCGACCGTCCGTTGCAATGATTCGCACTGCTTAGATCGTCCTAGTTTTCGAATGACGAGAAAAGATGTGCAGAGATCTTCTATACGAAGCTGATTCTTCTTGTATTCTTTTACCCAGTGAAATCTCTTCAATACTGTAATGTGTTCTTACAAGAACTCTTCGTTAGTAATTCAGAAGAGTGTGTTATTTTATATAATGTAAATTTTTGATGTTATTTTGAAAAGAACCGAAATATATAAAAGACTGTGCTTGAATAACTATAGCGATGATACGTTCTCTTCAAAGGTGGGCGGTGTATCGAAGCCGGAGGTCGTTTCCTGAATCGCTACGTCCGACGTGATTAGATGTAGTTCTGTGTTCTAGTGATTTGATGCGCATTGTCATAAAGAATAGCTACTGCAAAATATCATATATCTATCGATCTGATCTGTGAATTTTTTGAATGCAGCTCGAGATAAAATTTCGAATCTTAAGAGCGAGAGAGATATATTCTTAATTTCATTACCATGTTTTGTTTGATTTATTATTTTTAATTAATGATTATGAATATTATTATTGCAATAAACGCTTTCGTTGAACATTTAATTTTTTAGCATGTAAAAGTTGCAAAGGCAAAATTGTGAAAGAATTACCATCTATTCTTTTATACTGTCTCATCTTATCTGGAATATATTGCCAATCTTAAAATCTTCGTCTGTTATAAAATTTTACGAATTTACAAGTTACTTCCGTCTCAAGTTTACTTATATATGCAGATCGCCAACTTATCCTAATGGCATTTGTCGGCAGTATCTGACAATGAGGAATTCGAGATGCGAGCGACCAGCTAGTCGTTGATGAACCGAAATCTCATAATTGCGGAGGAAGTGCTGCTGCTGTTGGAAAGGGAAAACGAATCTGAAAAGAGGGAAACGCAAACGCACGACAAAGAAGAAGAGACGTGGGAGGTCGTACAGCTTAAGCGGAAGAAGAAGAAGAGTACGATGACCTGTGGATAGAAAAGAGGGTAAGAAGAAAAAGAACGACGAGGACATCTTTGAGAAGATCAAGCGGAGAGGAGGCTGCTACGATTGGACCACTAATAGTATGCGTACCGAAAAAAGTGCAATACCCTCCTTCGGAGACGCGATATTGGCAGCGATGTATAGGAATTAAGAGAGCAGGGCAATCTCTATGATCTTGAAATCGTCTTGAAATTGTCGCTGCCAGTTTTGGACGCTGCGACGACGAGAAAAGGAAGAAAGAACATTGTTTTTTCTTTTATGTGTGTTGTTAGATGAAATTTACTGCGTGTAATAAAGATAGAGAGGAAAGATACGGAGGAGAGTGAGAGAAAAAGGAAATATACGAAAGAGAGTTATTATATGATGTTTTGATATGACATTCTCTGAGAGAAAATAAGCGAGAAGAGTATATAGTAGGAGGGAAAAAGAAAGAGATAGTGCGGGAATCGAGTCTTTGCCCGGCCACGAACTGCGATCACCACGTGGACGCAATGCAATATAATTCCACTATATTTATTAATCGCTTGACGAGTAGTCTGATCTTTAATTTACTTTGCTTCTTCTTTCTTGATACTCTTTATCGTAAATGATGAAAAATGCTGCGAGCAACTTTTGAATCTGGATGTATCTCTCGCCTGACACGACTTGTTAAATTAAAAATATTAAAATTATTAGCGGAATCCTGTGTACGTATACGTGATTTAATTTATAATACTATCGAAACGCGATAGTAATAGTCAAATTTCGTGTTCAATATCGTGTTCATTTTTTATCAGCGTTGATTCTGCAAAAGAGAATCGTTTCTTCGAAACGACCGATCGATAGACACGATAATTCGGTGGTTCACCGCATTGTGTTCGTCCTACTTTTTGCATCAAGCACTGCCGTATAAACACCCACTGCCTGCCAGCGCATATTACTTTATGTTGCACGACATAGTCGATATGTCTTTCGCCGTAGACTGTCTGAATTTCGCGCTCCTCTTCGTTTGCACACGCGTGTTCCATCTTGCACTTGGTATCAGCGCACAGTATTATAAGGTACATCGATCACAGTAATCCCTAAATTATTACATAGCCGCAAAAATGTTCAGAGATGTGTACTTTATGAAGAATTTAAGATAATTTGGACAAATTTTATGAAATAGATATAATGCAGAATATATAATAATTTATATAATTATTGTAAAGATTTAAATTATTAATACGAAGCCTATAACAGTCTAGCTTGAATCTTTAATTGCTTATATATAATTTCGCCTAAATTTATATACTAATATACGTAGTCCCAAAGGACACTTGTGCGTAAAGCAAGGTATTCGACTCCCGGCCGAGGTAATACTTTTCGCAATAAGAAAAATATTTCCAGATTTAGTATTTTCAGATTTTAATATATTTTAACATCAATATATAATAAGATGCCAAAAAGAGCATCAATTAATTATTAATTTGTTTTAATTCGTGGTAGTACCGCGGTAGCTTATTAGATTTGCGTTTCAAGACCGACGATTGTTCGGCGCGCAGTTTGGGGGGACTACGTATATTAGTATATAAATTCACGCGAAATTATACATAAGCAACATAAAGATCCAAGCTAAACTGTTATAGGTGCAAGCGAGGATGTGCGGAAATGCAAATTATGCAACAAACAATTCGTGCAGCCCGCACTCTACCGAATGCACGTTCGCGAGCATTATAGGGTAAATAGGAAAAATATATATATATATATATATATTACGTTCAATAAACAGTTTAATAGCACTGGCAATGCTCCATTACTTTATTTTGTATTTATTCATTATATTTTTCTTTGTTTTATTTACTTTGTTTTGCATAAAACTGCAACTACCTTCTGTTCGCTTTATACTTTTTTCATTTGGAGTGCTTTTACGTATATGTTTTTAATAAACAAATCGCGTATTCTTAGAGTCTTATCGCATTTATTTCTCTACAGACGAAGATAGTAAAGCAAACTAAGAGGGGAACGAAACATAAAACTATGTACAAATGTACCATATGCTTGAAGACTTTCCAAAAACCGAGCCAATTAATACGACATATCAGAATACATACTGGAGAAAAGCCCTTTGAGGTAAACGCTTTCTGGAATCAACTTATACTGATCATAGTACTTGGAATGATAGTTTTACACATACGCTTTTTCTTCTGCAGTGTACTGTCTGCAACAGAGCGTTCACACAAAAGAGTTCGCTACAAATTCATGCATGGCAACACAAGGGCATTCGGCCACATACTTGCAGTCTTTGTAACGCCAAGTTTAGTCAAAAAGGTTTGAGGAATTTATAATTAATATCACATGTTAGATGTCTCTGAACTGATATTACAATAAGAAAAATAAGTTAAGCTTAGAGAAACGCAAATATATTATTAATCCTTGCAATTATTTTTCCAAATTCTTTCACATGAACAACAATTTTAGTCGATACTTTTGTATTTTTATATATTCTGATATTTTTGATTGAAAATTATTTATCTTTCAATCGAATTATCAGTTCAAAAACATTTGTAAGTGTGCCATGTAATGCTATATATCATGTGGCTTAAATCATTACGAATTTAGTATCTATTTTTTTTTTAAAGGGAATCTAAAGGCGCATATACTCAGAGTGCACAATGCACCAGAAGGTGAGTCAACGTATGCATGTTCCTCTTGTTCCTGCGTTTTTAAGAGACTAGGCAGTTTAAATGGACACATAAAGCGAATGCATTCTATTTCCTCGGAGGTAAATACGATGTTTATTTCTTGTATGCAGAATGATTCAGAGTTACAAGCTAAGAATTGTCATGTTTGTTAGGAATCCAACGCCAAATCCTTCGAAGCTAATCCTATCTCGTCGGAAGCTGAAATGCGCGCGACCGTCGACAGTGTTATATCACAATTGGCATCTTTGGAATCTATTGTGAATAGTACTGCAGATTCTACAAGAACTACAACTTTAAGTGCGGAACAGAATGATATTTTACAGCAGGCATTAAAAAACAGTGGTTTACCGAACAAAAGCGATGTCATTTCGAAAGGTAATTTTCTTACAATTGGATATTTACTCAAAAATTCTTAATAAAAATATAAACTAGTTATGGACTCTTTTTTGTTAAAAACAAATAAACAAACATAAATTAAAGGCTATAAAGAGTCAAACGCAGTTAACAATGCGAAAAAATTATTTAATAATCTTACAAATTAACATTAAGATGTCCCATCGAACGTTAGATATTTACTATTCCGGTTAAATAATAAGCATTATATAAATATAAAATTGTCTGTAAACACATAATTTTTTAATGAAATATTATTTTGAATAGTACAATGAATGTCGAATATGTCTTTGCTTTCAGAAACCGCAGAACCAAAGAAGACTGATTCATCAACGTCGTATGTCACGCTAGTAGACAGAACTGCTGGTGGTACTTCGAGGTAATTTTTCATTCTATAAATGAGTGTGTAAAATTGTGATAAATAGTAAATTAACAATTTTAAAACATGTATGATCATCTACTGGAATGAATGGAATTTGATGTACTATCATAGTTGCGTAATAAAAAAAAAAAGCAATATTTATATCTGTAGGAAATATCTCACCATAAAACAACGCTGCATAGGAAACGTACGGTGGTATGCGTGTTCGTTTTGCCCGAAAGAATTCAAAAAGCCGTCGGATTTGATACGTCATTTGCGCGTACACACCCAAGAGAAACCCTTCAAGGTAAGTTAATTTTTATTTTGTTTGAAATATAAATTGCGATTACACTTGATTTATTTTGCATTTTTCAGTGTATGTATTGCGTGCGTTCTTTTGCGCTAAAATCGACAATGATAGCGCACGAACGGACTCATACTGGAGTGAAGAAATACGCCTGCGAGTCCTGCGACAAAACCTTTGCGTGTCATAACAGTCTTACCGCTCACACCAAGCAAGTTTAATATTTCTCTTATATGATTTAATTCATTGTTTCATGTTTTATATGTATCTATTCATGTTTTATTTTTAAATATTGATTATGTATTTTTATATGCTTTTTCAGTTCTGTGTCTATAAACTTTTATTCTAAACTTTTTACTTCTATCCTTAATTATTGTTACTAAACTTTTCCTAGTTTTTGCACAAGACTTAATAAGATCGTATCTAAATTCATATTGATAACACCTATTTCAGATTACACACAAAACCGCACAAGTGTAACATATGCGACAAATCATTTAGCGCGAGTACCATCCTAAAAAATCATATGAAAAGCCATACGCGGGAGAAGCCTAAAATGTCGTCGGAGGCGGAGAGCCTGGTACGACAAGTGGTACTGCAAGAACCGCTCGTCATTAGCGACGCTGGTAATAAAATTAGCGTGGCACAAGTGCAGTCGAAACAGAAACAATTGTACGAAAACGTCGGCGTGGCCAGGCCGCACGAATGTTGGGTTTGTCACGCGGCGTTCAGGAAAGTTAGTCATTTGAAGCAACATTTTCGTAGGCATACAGGCGAGCGTCCTTACAAGTGTTCCAAGTGCGACAGGTTCGAGATCTGACATCTAATGTTTCTAGTCTATGATCAGAAGTCTCTTCAGCATAAGAACTGTATAGAGAGAAAAAAAAACAAATTTTTTTTCAATCTATTTATTGTCTAGTTTAAGTTTTAACATATTTGACATTGATCAAAATGTTTACGTCTTCTGGTTTGCAGGAGATTCACGTCAAACAGTGTTCTGAAATCTCATTTGCATACACATGATGATACGAGGCCATACAGTTGTTCTGTATGCGACACGAAATTCTCCACGCAGAGCAGCATGAAGAGGCATTTGGTCACACATAGCAATAAGAGGCCATACATGTGTCCATACTGTCACAAAACATTTAAGACATATGTCAATTGTCGAAAGCACATGAAGAGGCACAAACACGAGCTGGCGCAACGAGTTGGTATATTTAATGTACGCTAGAGTGCACTAGAGAGCCTAGGGCAAGACTACTCGAGAGAGAGAGAGAGAGAGAGAGAGAGAGAGAGAGAGAAATCTGAGAACGGACATGAGGGCCTTTTTCGTATAAACCGTCCCCGCGCACTACTGCCCTTTGAAGAAGTGTATGTAAACTCATACACTTCTTACAGCGATATATTCACTTTTTACGGTGTTTCTGATGGAAATATTACAAATCGCTAAAATCATTAAAATCTTTATCAATTCGATGGATTTTAGTTATTTCAGCGATTTCATTCTCAGATTTTTCTCTCAGATTTCTCTTTGGACAGGACAAAGAGATTCGAGAACCTCTCTGTTTTGTACTCCAATCAAGCTTCAATAGCCTTGTTGTACGACAAAAACACAAATGTAACAAATATCTTACGTTGAGATTATCTTCTAAGCTCTCTGGCGTAACGCTACAAGAAATGTTAGAAAGTATATTAAAATCTTATACGCGTGAATAGCAATTGGAGGAACAAAAGATACAAGCTCAGAAGGATCCACAGTCTTCGAGTGAAACTAAGGATGCTATTGGATCAGTGTTACCGGAGAACATCGAAGATATGGAGGTGTCATTTCAACCGCAAATGGCACCGGATTTTACGCAGGCTTTTTCCGATCAGTTTCAAGATATCAGCACAGAGAAAGAAAAATCTTTTCTACTACCGGACAACACAACACCATCGATAGTGAATCGTATGTTTTCCAAAAATCATACAAAATTGGACGAAAATAAATTTAATGAAGCATTTAGAAATCGGGATTTTAAATGTATAATTTCAGAAAATTTATCTGTCGACACAACTACTTTGGGAACGCCGCAAACTCTACACGCCGATGAAACTGGTACTATCACGTTACCTAATTACTCAGGGGATCAAACTTTCACGCCGGTACATAAGTTTACATTCATAAAAGATGCATAAGTGTGTATGTAATATAAAAAAAAAAGATGTATGAATTTAGAAAAACTTGCAGGAAAGTATACGAGAGATAGAGGAGACTCTGAATCAACAATTGTTTAACATGGGTATGAATCTCGGGCTGGGGACAAATAATTTGCCGAGGCAGATGGACGAGGTGAACACGAATTCTCACAATTCTAGAGAACAGCCGATGCTTAATATTATATATGAACATAACAAATCTCTGGAATCGTCAGGCAATACCATATTCATGTCACAATTTGATTCGTTTGATATGAACCAAATAACGTTGCAGGTGAATACATTTTATATACAGAAAATATGATTTTAAGACGCAATATATAAATGTCAATACAAAAGCATATACTTTAATGAAGTGTTAATATTTTATAAACATGAAATGACTGTAACTCCTCTTTCCAGACGGATAACGATATAGATATTGGTTTAAATCCGAGCAACTCTATGTCTAGTATTTTGCCTAGATCTGTGGAAAGCCAACAAGAGGAACAACAAGCTGTTCCAGTTACTACAACTAGCAATATAGACGCTTCTCAAATTACGAGAAACACTCATCTGGTGATAATAAATCCCAAGGAAAATTGTTCGGAATTAGTGAGACTTTCGCAAGTATGCCCATCGAAATACTCGAAAGTCATCGCGAAAGCTGACACCACAAATGGATCGGAGATGCAAGGCATGAATGAGCACGAAAAGGCAGGGCAAGCATCGCAGACAAGTAATGTTGTATCATGTGAAAATGAAACAAATTGTTTCATGTAAGTTATTTTAATTCGTATGTAAAATCATTTTACTGTCGAACAATTAAAGGATGAGAGCAATGCTTGTAGGAAGAATTTCCAAAGTACAATGCAGTCGGAGACGTTCGTTTCTTCGGACAACTCAGCCAAAATATTGCAATGTAACACTCTGCTGCAATGTCACATGTGCGGCGATCAAGGTTTCACGGCAGAGAGATTGAAGGTATGAGAAACATTTCCTAGATATTTGTACATTCAAACATAAATTGCAACTATTTTCGGAATTACGTAAAGTTAACGTATAATAATTATTACAGGAACATTTGAAATCTCATCGCGGTGACAAAGAGTATGAGTGTTCGGAGTGTTCTCAGCGATTCTGCACAAATCGTGGTCTCAGTAAGCATTTGAAGATGCATACGAACAAGCAGTAAGTGAATTGATTGATAACAACGAGAAACGTTTCTCAAACGCATTTTAGTGATAGATCAAATTTTTTCCCCTACTTTTTCACGCAGGCGGTGGAAATGCATGATATGTCAGAAGGTACTGAGCAGCAAACTGCAAATGAAATATCACAGTAAGATGCATACCGGGACTTGGAATGTTTCGTCTATGGAGCCGGACAGTTCTCAGAAGGATCTTATTTCCTCGAGTTCCGGTTTGTCATCCGATCTAACAACGCTGGACGTCCGAGCAGATTCGAACCCTTCAGTTTCCGAGAAGGTTTTGATGGCCGCAGTCGCCGAGAAGAAAAGCATGGACCGCACTGACGTAAGTACATACAAATATTTGCGTTGATTCGCAAAGTCTTGCATTTGTTAAACGGCTAATAATATTATTAACGTTATTTAATCGTTCCCCAGGAGAATATAGTGAAGAAAGAGATAAGGGAATACACTAATAAATGCAAGTACTGTCCGAAGACTTTCCGTAAACCAAGCGATCTCATCAGGCACATTCGTACGCATACGGGTGAACGACCGTACAAGTGTGATCACTGCAACAAGAGCTTCGCGGTTAAGTGTACTTTGGATTCGCACATGAAGGTTCATACAGGCAAGAAGACGTTCTGCTGCCACGTCTGCAGTAGCATGTTTGCTACAAAGGGCAGTTTGAAGGTCCACATGCGATTGCATACGGGTAATTATTCTATGTATCATAATTGTATACTACACATAACACTAGGAATAATTTAATATGCGAGAGAAGGATTTTACTATGTATTTAAATATACTATTTCACCTCTCTCTCTCTCTCTCTCTCTCTCTCTCTCTCT